GGTGATCTTTTGAGGTCCTACTCACATGGGTGTGGTAGGGTCTCATAGTGCCATTACTCTCACATGGGTATGGTAAGGTCTCATAGTATCGTTACTTATATATATATATATATATATATATGAAAAACTCTTCTGAACCCTTATAGGTGAAAATGAACAGCGATTTCGCCTACCATCATCACTATCCAAACTTCATCGCACGATCACAATTATCCGGTAGTATTTCAATTTTTTTTTACAAATCCAAATTACTTGAAATTTATATCGTATGTACATCTTAGTGAAACGAACCTAATAAAATATGAAAAAAATAATTTGTAAAATATAAATATTTAGACATTTTATAATATATATATATATAAATTCCTGTACGCCCATGTATGGACCACTATAGTAAATGCCCAACAGCCAAAATTGAATCTAGACAGATCTGACGGTCATGGTTGTCCAAGAGTTTGAATTTTTTTTTTTTTACAAATCAGAATGATCTAAAATTTAGAGAGTATGTACATCTTAGTGAAACACACATAATAAAAATATAAAAAATATTTTTTCTATAAAATATTTTTTTTAGATATAAAATATTTTTATATAAAGTATTTTGGTCAATTTATTTTATATAAAATATTTTTTTTATATTTTTTTTAGATTCGCCTATTTTTTATAAACACACTCTTCAAATTTCAAATCATTTTAATTTGTATAAAAAAATGAAAAATGAAACACTACCGAACATCCGTGATCATTAGATCAGCCTAGATTCGATCTAAACCGTTTGGCGTTTACTGTAGCAGTATGCGAATCGGCGTATCTTAACATCTTCCATATATATATATAGTATAAGTGATGCCTATCTCAATCATCAAATCTGACTACATGACAGAGATGGCTTAAGTCATAATATAAAAAACTAGTGCTTGAGCATCATATCTTGATCCGACGGTTCAAAGTGTTTTATTTATAACTTTTATTCTATAAATTATTTTACGGTGAAATTTGAGAAATGCATACATCTAACAGAGGAGCACATGATAAAAATAATAAAACATATTTCTCATGATTAAAATTATCAGAATACTCTTGAAACTCTTAGAAGGATTTTGATCATTTATTTTCACGAGATTATATATATATAAATGTTGAAATTAACCTACTAGCATATGAACATATGAGCCCAAAGGTCCAGATTGAATCTGAATGATCTAAAGGCCATGACCTCATTTCGTGTGTGAATTTTAATTCTTTTTTTTTAACAAATCCAAATAATTTGAAATTTTAAGTGTGTATTTTTTAAAAATAGAATAATCTAATAAAAATATATAAAAAAAGAATTTGCAACAAATAAATTGACCAAAATACCCCTAAAGAGTTTTATGGGTATTTTGGTTAATTTAAATTTTAAAATTAGTTTTTAAATATTTTTATTACTGTGTGCCTTGATGAGAAGAATAGACACTTAAAATTTCAAGTTATTTGAATTTGTATAAAACAAATTAAAATTCAAACACAAAATAAAATCGTGACCATCGGATCTACCCAGATTCAATCTGGGCCTTTGAACTCATGTTCATATGAGCTATAATATCAGCATTTTCATATATATAT